CAAATAAAATAAGTTAATTGCTGTCAAGTTACTAATAGAATGCTTAGCACATATTTGATGCTTATTTTATATATTTTCCACTCTGCCCCCTCTTTAAAAGTTTGTATCAACAAACTCAAGAGAAACCAGTTGTCGGTTGCATGCCAGACATTTATCTGACCTGGTTGCTGGATGGGCCACGGTAGCCCACTGGCTGGTCTCTGCTCCTGCATTCCTTTGTCGATGTCATTGCAAGAATCCTATTTCTAAAATACACTCCCTAAAATATCAATTATACTAATACTTTGTTATCTATTTTATTATCATGGTTACTCATCACCACAATACTAAAGATGGGAACTAGAAATATCCCCCGTTTTATAGAGTTGAAAACTAACACGCAGAAATGTTAAATAATTTGCCCCCAAATCAAATAGGAAGTAAGAAGCACAACATAGGTTCAAACAGGCTTGAATGTCTCCACAATCCAAACTCTTAAGCACTCACTTCACCTCTCCTACTCAAACATCTTCAGACTTCTAATTGCAAGCCAAAAAAAAAAAAAAAAAATCCAAAATCTTTCACCCAACATTAAGATTCTCCTCAGTCCAGCTCAGATTACCTTAGCAGCCTTGTCTTCCATCTCCCTGTCAACTGGGAAGATACTTCTTCCAGGAGCCTACCCTGGCCCCTGTTCCCCTATATGCTTCCTAACTTCCCCCACCAAATAATGTACTGTACAGAATGGCAATACTAGGAACTAATTATTTACCTGTATGCCCCATTCGATTTCGAGCACCTGGCCTCAGTCCACTACATGGTCGGTGCTCCGTAACTAATGAACCTTGCTCTGCAGTCAGACAGGGTAGCTGTGTTGTTCCCAAACACCTACATTTTCACCTCTGCATCTGCATATGCTGTTTCTACCACCCAAATCTCTTTGCCGCCTTATTACATGCCCTTTTGCTGGCTCCTCGACCTCTATTTAAGATCTGACTCAAATCCCATCTCCTCTTAGGAGTCTTTCCCACATCTGTGGTGGAAATTCATCTCTTCTTGCAATAACTTCCCATCCGTTTCCATCAGTATCGTAACATGTCATTTTCCGCTATATAGTATGGGTCTTTTGTGTGCAATCAACCTCTCCCAGGAGACTTTGACACTTTAGGAAAACACCATATCTTGATCTTTGTATTACCTCCACATGTAACAGCCAATGCCAGATGGTACCTCTCACAAAAACCTGTTGAATTGAACATAAATTTGATTTCCACAGACTGTGCTCAGAAACCAGCGTAGCCCCAAGTACTGCCTGTGAGAACCTTATTATTAGCAGAAGTGTTCATGGGCCACAGAAGACAGGTAAACTCCTGCAATGCATGCATAACTGTATTTATGTCTACAGGATTTTAATAGAGAGCAGATCCATGACATACACTAAATTTTCAAAGGATTCTATGGCTTAGAAAAGGTTAAGAACCACTGTTAAAAAGATGTTTTCCTCATTTCTTTAAGTCTCCCTTTTTTCTTTTTTGCTATATTGCATAGAAATGCTTTTTAACTATACAGGCAATACAGACACATTGAGATAGCATATTAAAATACAGTTTAGCAAGAAAAAGATAGAGGGAATCTTAGCTTTCTTTGTGCCCACCCTGCTACCAACCCACACACTCATGCACATACACACACGCAAACACATACACATGCACAAACACACACACACATACATACACACACACAGTCAGCAGTACCTCTATAGAACTTGGATATATGTCTTTCCAGAGTTGCATGTAATGAAAATAAAATTACATTTGCAACTTTTTATTAGAAGTTCTACATATCAATGAGAAAAAGTTGAATATTCCAACACAAAAATGTTTAAAAGATATCAACAGGTGATTATTAAAAATATAACTACATAAAATATAACATTGAGGGAAACATGTTAAACCTTAGAGAAATGTAGAAACATCATGCAATGTGTGTGCCTATTAGGATTAGACACACGCACTACTAACACACACAAATGCACAGCTCAGTGCTGATGAGAATTCAGGGAAACAGACTTTCTGATCTGCTAGTGGGAGTGTGAATCGGTACCTCTTTTCCTCTCTTTGTGTCTTTGTTCCATTGGTTCTTAAATTTGAGCATTTAGATTAAGTGGACTCTCTCTCAACTTTTTATCTCAGTGGCGATGGCCCAATCTCTTGTCTCACTAATCCTTAACTTCTAGTTTTAGTTTATTTTGCTCCATTGTATTTTCCAAACCCTTAATGCTACATTTGAAATTTTATTCCTAGTTTTATATTTCCTGTCTCCTATTGCTTTCATTTTATTTTTATGGCTCCTATTTCAATCCTTTCCTCTTTGTTTTTCTGTTTTCATTTCTCATTTTAAGCCTATTTTTGCCTTTTCTGAACCATCTTATTTTTAATCTCTCTTAGTCCCTTACTCTGTTTTTTTAAAGCGGCTTGTTTAACGATGTACATTGAAAAGTATACTCTGCTGTACAAAGTCCTTTCCAATGCCCTCTGAGTCCTTTAATCCTTGTGAAGCAGTTGCCGCAACTACTAGTACAGTGCACTTAAGCATTTTTAGACATCACCGTAATCAGTCCCAGGGTTGCAGGAGGTTGTTTCACCTATCCAGATTTACGTGGTTGATAAAACCATGAAAGTTTTTTGTACTGTCTTTTTGAACTAGAAATATACACAGAGAGCTGGTAGTGATGGAACTCCGAAGAAGTTTATTTCAATAAACAGTAATGTAGTTCTGAATCCCTCCCAAGTATCAGCTAAGATTCTAGGTTGCAGACCTTGCCAGTTAGGAGTTACTTAACCTGAGATTTTTCAGCTCTTGCAAAAACAATCTTATGGAATATTCTAAATTAATTAAGAAATTGTTCTTGTGAGACCTAAGAAGTTTATCAAGGAATTCAGCAAGGAAAAGTACAAAGTTTGCTTGATGTGTAGGGACCTATCACTGCCATATCTTGTAAGTAAAGACACGTGCTCTAGAGTGAAACTGACTTGAGATTGAGCCTTGGCTCTCGTGAGGCAGGACGTGCTGTGCTGGAGATAAGCAGAGACTGACGGAGGACACTGGGACAGAAGAATGACAGAAGGACTGAGTTCAGGCCTGGTCTTCAGTGTGGGAGGAGGGTGCTGGGATGAGACTGAATCCATTGTATTGGCTCTAACGGGGTCGCGTAGGTCCAGGGCTGTAAGAGTGGCACGTCGGAGTGTCAGCGCAAGGGGGCCAGGATCAGGGAGGGAGTCACAGACACCCGGAGGACATGGAGCCCTTCTGTTTGATACCGTGCCCACAGCTACACTCAACCCAGGCAGACACAAGGTGGGGGTGGGGTCTGGATGGGACCTGTCTTGATTAGATAGGAAGGACTTTGATCAGTGACTGTAACTGTCCTCTGACTCGTGTTTGCACATCCCTGCACACGTGTGCATGGTCACAAACACACCCACAC